GCGGTCCGATGCGGCCAGAGGGTTGTATGGCGTTGTTGTGTGCAGCCTCGCGCGGCCGGCCCGGGTCGGTCTCGACACCGCTCCGAGGCAGCCCGAGCCGACGCACGTTCCGATTCGATCCGACTTCCCGATTCGATGTTGGCTGACCTTGCCCCCAGCAAGTCAGAGGAGGGAAAGTCAAGCAGTGGCGAAGCGTCCTGGCTCGCCAATAGCCCTACCAAACAATGTTCTAAGAACCTTTTGTGGTTTCCACTAAAGGTTCTTAGAACATTGTTTGGTAGGAGTACAGGAATGCCGGGACGGTCGGTCCCTGCTCAAAAAAAGGTACCCATACCTCATCCCTTCGCCTGTTTTCCCCCTTTTGGGCCTCCTGAGAGGCCCTCGTCGCCTCCGCTAGATTCGCCTCGAAATCCTGGTCAGAACACCCCGGGAGAGGCCCGGGGAGTAGCGGTATCGGTGCCTTTTGAACCCCCCCCGAGCAAGCCGACTGCCTTGCCTCGCCCCGATGCGCCTGGGGCCCCCGAGGTCTCAAAACACCGTGCGGGGTGCGGCGAGGGCCTTTGTGGAGGATTCTGAGGTCCCCGCACGGTCCGTCACCGCACCCCCGTCGGGGCCCCCAAAGAGGTTCGAGCCGAACGAAAAGGGGGGATTCGGATAGGGAAAGGGGTGGTTACGAAATCTGCTGCATGCAGCTGGTTTCGGCCCCGCCGCCATGCCCATTCCTCGATACGTGGGCGCCTTCTGGCGCCGGGGCGTGCTGGGACAATCAGCTACGTGAGCTGATTGTCTACCCTAGCCTTTGCTATCCCCCCCCTTCCGTTCCCCCCGAGAGGTGCGCGGAAGATGCTGGCGCCCCGCGGCATGCTGTGCGGGGAGCTCCGGGACGTGATCTGCAGGCAGCTGGCCGCCCACGAGGGCGGCGTCGGCGGCACGGGCCAAGCGGACCTCGTCGCTGGGGGCACCCGGCTGGAGCCAGGCACTAAGGTCCGCAGAAGGGATCTATATTCAAGCAGTTGAGAAGCGTCCCGACCTGTTGATCCTAAGAGCATTCTGAAGTTTGCGCGAAGTGTTATTACCGCATGTCTGGCTGAGACAGGCTTGTCTTGATACGTAGCTTGTCCGCTCATTAGGCTTGCCTGAGGGGTCCTTACTCGGTTAATAGTTGGTGCCTCTTATTGTTACTTTGCCTGTTGCTCGGAGGTTCATCGGATTCCTCGGGTTCCCCGCCCCCATGGCCTTCTACTGCCCGTTTTCCGGAGGTTCCTCGGGTTCCCCGGGTTCCTCGGATTCCCCGCCCCCGGTGGTTGCCCATTCCTCAGATGTTCATCGGGTTCCTCGGGTTCCCCGCCCCCGGTGCCTCGTATTCTTAGCAATGCCAAGCAATGCCCAGCACTGCTCCTGGGCAATCGGAAGCTCTCCCCTCATCGGGTCGCGCAGGGCGCATGGTTGTCAAGGCATGCTCCTCGCGCTTCGAGCATCATTCTGTTCTCGGAGAAGCTCGTGGTAGGCCTAGAGTCAGGAGGGAAAAAACACACAGACACAATTAATCGTCGATTCCCAGGAAATATGGGAAAATATGGGAAGTGGGGGGGAAGACAGAAACCCAGAAAATATTGGAAAATCTGGGGAATGTTTTTATTTGTGTGTATTTATTTGTGTGTCCTGGGGCCCCTTCATAGAGGAATGCCAGGACGCTCGGCTCCTGCCCAGTCCGCACCGCCGCCGTGCCTCTCCGGGGGCCGCCCTGGACCCGAGGTTGGGGTGCAGACCTCCTGGCCTCGGCCAGGATATCAAGAATCACCCTGCGTGCCTCCAGGGTGCCCTGGGCGTCTTGGGTTTCGATGGTTCTGCGATGGAAAGCCTGACGTTCCCATAAATCTAGGGGCGTCCTGGGGTCTCAGGATTGGGTTTCTTGCGGAAGGTTTCTTGTGGACTGGCGTCCTTTGCATGACGGCCCTGGCCAGGCACGGTGGTGGTTTCGAGATGCCCCTGCGCAACAGGTCGCCGACGCCTTCGATCGGCACAGGGCCGAGGACTCGAAGAACACGAAGCTACATCCACACGAGCGACGCAACCAAAACGGGATCGTTTGCGCACACATTGGCGCGTAAGCTGCCCGCGTAGGTTCGCGCGTGAGCGCCCTTGTCCTCCATGCCGCGTGCCGCGCTGGCAGCCCGCATGAGCTGCGGCGTAAGGTCGTTGTGCCATCTCGCGTCAGACCCGTTTTGATCGTCGCTCATATGATTTTTCGGGGTCCCGCGCGGATTCCTTGAATCGGCGCTGAACATCCGATCGCCGGCGCCAGGGCGCGGTGCCAGTGGCACTGCCAGGGGGGTGGGGCGGCGCCGCCGATCCGAGAAGTCTACGCGCGGGCCTCCGAAAGGCTCAGGCCTCGTGCAGTTCCGGGGGGCTCGGGCCAAACTATGTGTGTGTGTTGGATGCCTGGGGGGGGGTGGATATCATGGCGCGGGCCATGAGATTTCCTCAGATTTCATGGCGCCTCTTCTTATTTCATTACGTCCCTGGCCCCCCCGATGGGCCGCGCACATGCCGCCGGTCATGATTTGCACCCCCCCTCTTGGACACCCCCCTCTTTGCCGCCCCCGATGGCTGCTGCTGCCCCCCCCGTCCGCTCATCGTCGAACTCTTCGGCGTCTGAGCGTCCCTTTTTCCTGTCGGCCGTCCCCCCCCCCCTCTATGCTCGCCGGCCAATTCGCTGGAGCGGAGTTCGCCGCCTCGCTGCTGACGGAAAAAGTATGTGTTGGCGCTCTCGCGGGCCGTTCTCCTTTTGATGTTTTACGTCCTGCAGAACAAGGGTTAACTCGGGCATGTTTTATAAAACTGTAGGAAGCGTATTCAAAAATAGTCAAAGTGTTGTTTGGGGATTTGTTTGTGTGAACCATGTTTGATGATGCTTGCATGATTTTAATAATTCGTCTAAAATCCGCCTGTAGGAAGCCATGCCCAACCGAAAGCAAGGCGCGGCACTGAGGCAGAAGGTGAGAGAAATAACGAGACCACGGGCGAAAACGAAACACACACACACACCGTCGTACGCACGCTCTCACGCACGCACGCCCGCGACCGCGCACGCACGCACGCACGCACGCACACACGCACGCACGCACACAAACACACACACACACACACAGTTACACACAGACACACACACACACACAACGACACACACAGACACACACAGAAACACAGACACAGACACACAGGCACACAGGCACACAGGCACACAGGCACACAGGCGAACAGGCACGCGCGCACGCACGCACGCACGCACCGCACCGCACCGCACCGCACCGCACCGCACCGCACCGCACCGCACCGCACCGCACACGCACACGCACACGCACACACACTCACACACACACACACACACACACACACACACGCACACACACACACACACACACACACACACGCACACACACACACGCACACACACACACACACACACACACACACACGCAAACGCACACGCACACGCACACGCACACGCACACGCACACGCACACGCAGACAGACAGACCGACAGACAGACACACAGACAGACTGACAGACATACACACATACATACATACACACACTCTTCAGGTATCGGGCGGGTGGTAACTTGGAGGTGGCCCCAATGGGGGGTGAAGAAAAAGGCCCCCAAGGGGCCCTTTGGGACCACTTTTGGGGCCCGTTTTGGGCACCAGCTGGCTCCAAAAGGGCCCTGCGGTGCCCCTTTCTGGCCCTTCCTTTCGCCTTCCATGCGGGTCACCCCCCATTGCCTCCCGCCCGACTTTCGCTGCTCAGCTCGAGCCATGTGCAGTTCCTCTGCTCAGCCAGGACGGCCTCCTCTACGTCTCGCTGGCGCCGCCGGCCGCCCCGCCCCCGCGGGGCCCGAGCGCCGCCGTGCTCGTTGTGCTCCCGCAGGGCGAGGTGGCCCGGGCCGGCGGTGCCGCGGGGGCCCGCGGGGAGGCGGAGGCGGAGGCGGCGCCGGTCGCCGAGGTCGAGCAGTGGCGAAGCGTCCTAGCTTGCCCATGGGCCCACCCCAGACCCAGACCCCCTCATGTTGTGACAAAAATCGCGACGAGAGATTTTTCGCTGCTTTCGGCCTCCCAGGGCCCTTCCCGGGCCTCGGGACCGTCCAAGCGCGCCTCAGGATGACAAACTTCACACAGGGAAGGGGTCCAGATTTCTGACGGCACGTCATGAACAAAGTCACGACGTCGGGCATTTGGGGAGGGTGGCCGATTGGCGCGGGCCCTTGCACCCCCCTCTGGAATAGGTCTTGGTTGTGTTTGGCGCCTGTTTCGAACAGGTGGAGTCTCCTCCATAGGACGCACTGTTGCAGACAGTCGCGGAGGTCTAGAACCACATCCCCCCTCCGCCCAAGGTCGAAACGCCGAATAAGGAAACGTTGACGTTGCCTGTGGGCCCGCTAGAGGGTGTTCTGGGAACCTGTTGTTGTGGTCTGCACGACATGTCCGAAGAGCGTTCCTTGCTGAGGCTGTCTGGTCTTCCTCCTTCGGTCCTGTTCTAAAGGAAGAGTACTCTGTTCATTATCAGAGTGTATGCTTAAAGCAGAGAGAGTTTCGTGGCAGGCCTCCACGAATGCCAGGACGGTCAGTCTCTGCTCAATGAGGAGGCCTGCAAGGAGGCGGCCCCCGTCCAGGATGCGGCGGAGGAGGAGCAGGCGCCGCAGGCCGAAGCTGCCCGATGGCGGCGTCGTCACCGTCGTCGCTGCCGCCGTCAGCGGCGTCGCGTCGCCGTCGTCGTCGTCGTCGGCGTCGGCGTCGTCGGTGTCGTCAGCGTCGTCGGCGGGTCGTCGTCGCCGCCGCCGGCGTCGGCGGCGAAGCCGACGACGTCGTCGCAGGAGGCCGAGCAGCCGGCGCGGGGGCCAGGGGCGCAGCCGGAGCAGTTCTTCATCGAGGACGGCAACGCGATGCCTTCCGCCGAGGCTCGGGTGCTGCCATGGGTGCGCCATGCAAGCAGTGGCGACGCGTCCTGGCGTGCCTACAGGCCCAGCAAGCAATGTTCTAAGAACCGTTTGTGGTTTCCACGAAGCGTTTTTTGAACATGTCTGGCTGAGACCGTCTTGTTTTTTACACGTTAGGTCTATGTTATAAAAACATTGTTTAGTTCTTAGAGCATTGTTGGGTTCTCAGAATATTTCGTGGTAGGCCTATCGGAATGCCAGGACGGTCGGTCCCTGCTCAGACCATCGCGCTCAGCGCAAGCAGCTTGCTTGTCTTCCTCAGCCTTGCTGCGGGCCCGTGCTCGCCGAGGGGTGCTCTGGCGCCTGCTTGTCCAGATGGTGCCGTCGGCAAGGCTTTGCCAGGCTCAAGTCGGGCTTGTCCCTCTACAGGAGGAGTATTCAAAAACAGTAAAACAAATAGCCTTGGGACGATTTTCCAATATTTTGTGAGTACTTTCTTTTCGATTCAACTTCGCCTGTAGGAGGACATGCCCGACCTAAGGATTGTTTTCTCGGGACGGGGCTCGACAGTGGCTTCCCCCCGTAGAGTGTGGGACACTCGGAGAAAAAAGACAGGGCGTTTTGGCCAGATGCTTCCCTAGCTCTGCGCGCCACCTCCCTCCTCGACTACGCGTGAGAGTGAGCTTGCGCTGGAGTGACCTCTGGTGCGGGCCCATCGGGCTCCCCCCGATCGCCGAGCGCGATGCGATATGAGCGGCCTCGCGCCCTTGGCTTTGGCTCCCTCGCGCCCCCGAAAGCTGCGCACAGCAGGTCACTCTTGCCCGGGGTCACTCCTACGCCTGGCCGACCTCCGCAGGGCCGCAGGGCCCACCGCGAGTTGCAGGCACGATCGAGGCGTGAGGCGACCAGCGGCGGGAGGCTGTTGGGGCAGTTTCCGGCCTCTGGGGGCCCTCGCTGGGCCCCGGGGCCGCGAGAAACGGCTCGGGGTATCGACGCTGGACACGGGGAAGGGGTCAGGACGACGTTGGAGACCCCGTATGCTAGAAACAAGACGTCGGATGTCTGGGTCCGATCGGCCCGGTTCGATGCCGTGCGCGGACGGCTCAATCCGACTCGATTCCGATTCCATGGCTGGTGCGGGCTGCTGCTCGCACGGTGCGTGGCGCGGCCGATCCGACTCGACTTCGACTCCGTGCCGATGCGGGCCGTTCCGACGCAGGCTCCGATTAGATGCGGCTTCCCGATTCGATGCTGACCGCTCCTGCCCTCGCGCCCAAGGTGTCCGCGGGTTTCCTCGGCACCTCGGAGACCCCCTGGCCTCGCAAACAGTGCTTGGTGGACGTTTCTGTATGCATTCTTTCGCCGATCGGCGCGGGCCCTCGCGCCCCTCCCCCCCTCCCCCTCCCCCCTGTGGAGTAGATCTTGGCTGTCTTCGGCACCTGTGTCGAGCACGTGGAGCCTCGCACCGCTGCAAAAACAGTCGCGCCAGGCAGAGGCCCAGAGCCGGACCGCGCCCCCCCCCCCCTCCGGCCGCCCGATTTCGAAGCGCCGCCGACTCCGAACACGCTCCCCGGGGGGGAGGCTGCTCGGGTCCAGCGCCGTGCCCTCTGCCCGCGGCGGGGCACCTCGGCCCCCGGGCCTCTCGGCGACCTCGTCGGGGGGGGGGGGGGCACATTTTCCCGTCCGGGATCGCTCGTGGGCAGCCCAGGGGGCCCGGTGAGGGCCCCCGGGAGGCCGAGGACTCGGAGAGGCTGCACGTCACTTCCGATTCGTTTTCCTCGGCAGGCTCCCGCAGCTCCGCCAGCAGCCCAGAAGTGGAGGCGTGCGGCTGCCGACCTCTCGCGTGTGTGGGCGTGCCTGTCGTTTGCCGCCTTCGGTCCTGCTGCCTGCGTGCAGTTGTCGCTGCTTCATGGGGGACAGCCAGTCATACGCGAGGTGGCCCCCCCCCCGCAAGCGGGGGAATGGCAGATTGCGGCGCGAGGGTGGTCGTTGGCAGCGCGCCGAGGGGGGGTTGCGAGACGGGGAAGGCGGCCGGGCTCCTCGGAAGCCCTCCGCCCTCGGTGGCTTCGGAGGAGTCTTGTATAGGCACCTTCTCAGATGCCTCGAGGTTGGCCGAGCCTTCTGAGAGGGCCCCCCCCTGTCGGGTATGGCCAGGACCCCAGGTAAGGGGACCCGGTTAGTCGTAGGGCCCTGGAGCCCTTGAATTGGCCAGAATCACTAGACCAGGTTTGCCGTAGCTTGTGCTTGCTCGGGTGACGGCAGTTCTGGTTGGCGGAACGGAGCGGGGGGGGGGCGTCCCCCAGTACACATCACTAAACCGGGTACCACTAAACCCGGTTCTGCCAATCTCCGCAACGCCAGATCTCGGGGGGGGGAGAGGGGGAGGGGGAGGAAAAGGAAAAGGAGGAGGAGGAGGAGGAGGAGAAAGAGGAGAAAGAGGAGGACGACGACGAGGAGGAGGACGAGGAGGACGAGGAGGAGGAGGAGGAGGCCCGAACCTGGACGTTCGACGCCTTGATGCTTGTTTCTCTCAATGCGGGGTCCCCAGAGAGGAGCCCGGCCGTGTCCCGAGGGCCTGTTTCGGAAGGTTTCTCACGCTACGTCGGGCATGTTCCTCTACGGGGGGACGGTTCAAAGACAGTTAGCAAAATAGCCTGGGGACGATATTTTGAGCTCACGTTTGACTCTGTGTGAATATGTTTTGAGGACACGCCGGTCGTTGAAGTAGGTATTATTGGATTCCCAGATCCGAATCTACTTCAAGCGCCTTCCTATGTCAAGACTCGGCATGCTTTTGCTGGGTTTTGTTAGTCTCTGGGAGGGCCTGGACCCAATCTACTATATCCGCTTTCCGACTGCTTGTTTCTACCTTTTTCTTCCGACCGACGTGTATTTCTTGCTGTTCGTCCAAAATCCGCCTGTAGGAGCACATGCCCGACCCAATTATGACGGCCCTGGGGCCCGGCGAGGGCCCCCGGAGGCCGAAGAGACTGCCAAGGCGCTTCCCGTTGTTACACGCCGGTCGTTGAAAGTAGGTATTTTTGGATTCCCAGATCCCAATCTACTTCAAGCGCCTTCCTACTTCAAGAATCGGCAAGCTTTTGCTGTGTTTTGTTATTCTCTGGGAGGGCCTGGACCCGATCTGCTATATCCGCCTCCCGACTTCATGTTTCCACCTACTTCTTCCGGCCGACGTGTACGTTTTTGTGCCCGACGCGAGCACGTCGGGGCCTCCCTCTGCCCTCCCTCCCCCGCCGGGCGCGCCACCGAGGAGGGGCTCGGCTGGCCCCCCGTCTCGGGGGCAACGATAGGGGGGATGGGCATAGGGGGGGATGCATCGACCTCCAATCGCCCATTGATCGCCGATATGGGCCCGATAGCCCTAACCTGCCCAGGAAGGTGCGGATTCACTATCGGAGGCCTATCGCCGATCTATCGGCGATGTATCGCCGATTCCAGGTCGATGTTTCCCCCCCTATCCCAATCCCCCCTATCGTTGCCCCTCACCGTCAGCGCCGACCCCCGCTGCCTGAGCGAGGGGCAACGTTTCATCGAGAGCAGAAGAACCCCTAACCCTAAGAACACGATGAAGACGTGGCCTCACTGAGGTCCCCGTCTTTCGCATCAGGGGAAATACATTTGGGCGGTTTGGTCTGGTGCATCTGCAGAACGGACCCCCTGTCCCTGATGTTGTTTGGCCATCCTAACTGAGGTCCCCTGCCAAATGGTTAGGGGTCCTTCTTTGATTGATCAACGTTAGTCAGGGGGGGGGTGGCCCAGGGGGACCAGCGCCGACCTGGAGTCGACGGTCTAGCGCCGAGAGTCGAAGAAGATCTCGCGCGGCACACACATACACCTCTGGCGCTCCGCGCGGGTCTCCTGCGTCCGCGCATCGCCAAACGGTCTTGCTCCTGGCGTTGTCTTGCCTTCGGAGCGTTGGTTTGGGGGGGGGGAGGGGCCCAGGGGGGAGCAGCACGGACCTGGGATCGACGGTCTCTCGCGGCTGGGTCGGCGACGTGGGCCCACCGAGCCTGGGACTTCGGGCTCGGAGCGTCGGAGAGGAGGCGGACCGGAGAGGAGGCGGACCGGACCGAGCGTCTCCACCGAGGCCGGAGAGGAGGCGGTCGGGCGGGGAGCGTGCTGCCGCAGGGCTGGACCTGAGGGGTGCTTCTGCGATTTCGTGGGCCGTTTTCGTTCCGACTTCGTTCTGCGGTGAAGACGGATTGAAGACAGAACGAAGGGAGACGATAACAACACGAAAACGAACAACTCCGTTTAGGTTCAGCCCTGTGATGCCACGAGTCGGTGATCCTCAGAACGTGTGCTAGCCCCGTGTGCGTTTGCCCGTTCGGCTCCGCCGACAGCGCGCAGTTCGTGCCGGCCCTTACTTGTTGCACCACCTGCGTCGTGCTGTAGAGCGGCAGTGGACAAGTCGGACTGGGGCTAGGACGAGGACAACTCCGTTCCAGAGCGCTCGAGAACGCTCTGAGAGGGCCGCGGTGCCCGGTGCATCCTCCAGAGCCGCCGGATCTCCGATTCTCGATGTATCTTCACCCGGATCAGTCCTCGCCCTGGCTTCCTCTCACGGAGGGCGGGGTGTCACATCCCCCCCTCCCTCCACACCATGCGGAAGGGGAGGGGGTCCACCTCGGCCGCGCAAGGGGAATGGGGGGTCGATTTTAAAGTCTCATCGCCGCCATCGTCGTCCTCAGCGTCGTCGTCGTTGACGCCTTCGTCGTCGTCGTCCTCGACGTCGGCATAGTCGCCCTCATCGTCCTCATCGCTCTCAACGTCGGCGTCGTTGTCTGCACCCGAGTTTGTCCTCGTCTTCTTGGTCCCTTTTGAGGAGGAGGGCGCGCCGAGCGTGTCCGACGAGGAGCCCGCCAGCGCGGAGGAGGCTGCGGCGGAGCGCCTGGGGCGGCCGCAACAGGGGGCGGGGCCTGCCCCCAGGGGGGAGCTCCCCGGGGCCACGCCCACGGGGGGAGAGGCTCACGGGGGGCGCTCGAGGTTCGAGGATCGGGGCTCGCTCTCTGGGGTCGAGGTTCGAGGACCGAGGTCCGAGGATCGAGGTCCGAGGATCGAGGTCCGAGGATCGAGGTCCGAGGATCGAGGGGCGAGTTTCGCCCCCGGGCGGGGGAGCTCTCCGGGGCCAGGCCTGCGGGGATGGTTTGGCTCGCAGGGGGAGCGCTCGAGGTTCGGAGCGTCGAGGTTCGCTTCCTGGGGCTGCTTGATCGTCCTCGGATCGCTCCCCGGAGGCTCGCTTCCTGGACGCGCTCCTCACGCCGAGGCGTTCTCGCGGGGTCCCAGTCGGCCGGCGGCGGTCTCCGCGGGCCGAGAGGGGGGCGGGAGGCCCCTCTCTCGAGCCGCTCGGGAGGTCCATGGGGCACCAGGTCGCCCAGGCGGATGTCTAGCATGAGGATGTATCGAGGAAGTCTCGATCGAGACGCTGATTTGCACGTGTCCAGGTTGCCCAGGCGGATGTCTAGCATGAGGATGTGCTGAGAACGTCTTGAGCGAAACGCGTGTTTTCACGTGTCCAGGTCGCCCAGGCACAGCACAGCCCTCGGCACGGTACATTCATATCCATACCCTTAGCATTGCAGCCTGGCATGTTGCTTGGCGGAGCGTCCCGTGGCGTGTCCCTGGCACATCGCGCGGTGCACGTCCATTGGCACGTTCTGTAGCGCGTCCCCTTGGCACGTCCCGCGGTGCGTGCCCATGGCACGTCCCCTGGCACGTCGCCTGGCGCGTCCCTTGGGACGTTCCGCGGCGCGTCCTCCTGGCATGTCCCCCTGTCGATTAGTTCTGGGACAGCTACCATCTGCTCAGGCAGCTCGAGCTTAAGATCCAGATCAGTTCTGTCAGGACTCGGATGCAAAGAGGACTCGATCCACAACGCTATACATATATATGTATATATATATATAGAGCACGATCGCGGCTTGGCACATCGCAGTTCAACACGGCCCAGCACAGCACAGGCGTCGGCATTGTACATCAAGATCGATACACTCAACATTGCACCTTGCTGCGTTCCTTGGTGCGTTCCGTGGCGAGTCCACCTGGCACTTCGCGCGGCGCGTCCCCTGGCACGTCCCGCGGCAATTCCATTGGCACGTTCTGTAGCGCGTCCCCTTGGCACGTCCCGCGGTGCGTGCCCATGGCACGTCCCCTGGCACGTCGCCTGGCGCGTCCCTTGGGACGTTCCGCGGCGCGTCCTCCTGGCATGTTTCCTCTGTTGATTAGTTCTGGGGCAGCTACCATCTGCTCAGGCAGCTCGAGCTTAAGATCCAGATCAGTTCGGGCAGGACTCGGATGCCAGGGAGGACTCGATCCACAACGCTATACACATATACATATAGAGCACGCTCGCGGCATGGCACATCGCAGTTCAGCACGGGGTAGCACAGCACAGCCCTCGGCACAGTACATCAAGGTCGATACATGCAGCATTGCATTTGCCCGTCGCCCAATCAGGTGTCTTTGAAACGTTGCCATGCCCTACATTTCTATATTCCTTTCCGGGTTCGTGTGTCGATCATGTTGGGGGGTTCGATGGTTTTGCGATGGAAGATTTGACGTTCCCACTCCTAGAGTCAATGGATGGGCTCACGGGGGGAATAGGCTCACCGGGGAATAGGCTCTGGTGCCACGCCTGCGGGGGGACAGGCTCACGGGGGAATGCTCGAGGTTCGAGGATCGAGGTTGTCAGTCGGGCCCTATCCAGGTGACCCCGCATGACCACCCGCCCGAGATCTGGGGATGGACCTGCATCGGTGGCGTCACGTTGCCGATGCATCGCCGGTGCGGGTCGATGTGCTTTCCTCCACGGCCGACGCCGCCCATGCATCGCCGATGTCGCCAGTGCGCTTTGCAGCGCCGAGATGCGTCGCCGATGTGTGTGTGTGTGTGCTTGTGTTGGTTTTTGTGTTGGTGTTGGTGTTGGTGCCCGTGCTTGTGCTTGTGTTTGTGTGTGAGAGAGTGCTTGCGCTCGTGTTTGTGTTTGTGCTCGTTTCATTTCGCGCGTGTCTTTGTGTGTGTGTGTTTGAGGGAGAGTGTTTGCACTTGTGTTTGCATTCGTGTTTGTGCTTGTGCTTGTGTGTGTGTGTGAGAGAGTGTTGTTGTCCTCCGCGGAGGAGCAGAGGGCCCGCGAGGCGGAGCGGCGGGCGCGCGAGGCGGAGGAGAGGGCGCGGTCAGCGGAGGAGGAGCTCCCCGGGGGGCAGGGGAGCCCGGCGCGGCCAACGAATATTTCCGCGGAGGGTAAATTCGAAGAAGGAAAGACGCCATAAAAATAAGTTTTTGACGCTCCGCGCGAATTTCTTGGACGCGCGCTGAAGCCCGCTGGGCGGCGCCTCCGGCGCCGCCCTTGGCGCGCTCCGCGCGCAAGCGAAGCGGATCCAAGAAATCCTCGCGGAGCTCCAAAAGTTTTATGGTTATGGCGTCTTTTCTTGTTTTATAAATTCAGCATCGGCGCTGGTTCACTTGAGGTCGAATACCTGACCTGATCCGCCGTCATCCCGCTCCACTCGGGCTTTCTTGCTTAATACTGGGCTCAACCTGGCCGAATTTGGCTTCATTGCCCGCTGCTGGCCCTTGCCCTTGATCCTCTGGGCTTGGCAGCCTGCTAACTGGGTTTACCTCACGAAGACCCCCCAGGAGTCGCGTCCGAAGCCTTGGCTGGCCAGATGGTTACCCGGGGCATCTAGTTTTTCGGCAGGTGGTCTTTCCCATCAGATGTAGCGGGCGATGACTTGTAGAAGAAGAACAACTCAAGCGTACACGCCGGTCGTTGAAAAAAGGTATGTCTGGACTTCAGGTCCTAATCCACTGCAAGCGCCTTCCTGCTTCAAGCGCCGATATGCTTTTGCTGTGTTCTGTCATTCCCTGGGAGGGCCTGAATCCAGTCTACTTCATCCGCCGTCCTACTACCTGCTTCTTCCGACCGACGTGTAAGTTTTCGGAGGGCCGCGCGGATTTCTTGGACCGGCGTTGGACTCCTCCCCGCCAGCGAGGCGCCTTTGGCACCGCCTCCGGCGCGCTTCGAGCGCTGGGGAGGAGTGTACGGCGCCGAGCCAAGAGGTCCGTGCTGACTTTCGACAAGTATGACATTTCCCGGCTGTACATCGGGCCACCGTCGTCAGGGGTGCATATTGGGATCTCCAGCCGAGTGTAGGTTCTGATCGCCACTTTGTGCATGGGCCCAAAGGTTTCTTGTGGTCGAGCTCTGATTGTAGCCCCATCGGCCCATCCAGAATCGCAAGCGATTTCTCTCGCCCAACCCCCGGCTTTTCGACGAAAAATGGAAAGCAGTTCAGAAAAGGAGGGGAACCTCAGGATTCACCCCAAGGGGACTATTCGGACACCCCCCGATCGAGGATGGACGCCCCCCCGTCGCATGTCCCAGGGATGGGCCCCCAATTTCAAGTCCGCTCGAAGACCGCACTCAACCTGGGATAGGGTCGACAGATCCCCTGCTGCAGAAGCGGATTTCCAGGCGAGCTGCCTTGATCAAGGAAGTGCAGAAGCGTGCAGCGTAGCAGCCGCCTCGGAAGCGCTGTCTCCTGGGGGTTCGTCTCCCCTCCCACTTCCCATACGTTCCCAGACTCTCCTGGGAATCGACGGGCACCTGTGCTCGAGGGCCGCATGGAGCTGTGCGACGGATCGGGCAGCTCGCACGGGCACTTCGTCCACGGACGCGCGGAGGCTTTTTTTTAAGCACCCCGAGCTCCAGGCCCGCTCCGGTTCCTCATGGCCCCCTTCTCCCTCCTCCTCCCCCTCCTCCCTCCTCCTCCTCCTCCTCCTCCTCCTCCTCCTCCTCCCCTCCTCCTCCTCCTCCTCCTCCTCCTCCTCCTCCTCCTCCTCCTCCTCCTCCTCCTCCCCCTCCCCCCCCCCCCTCCTCCCCTCCTCCTCCTCCTCCTCCTCCTCCTCCTCCTCCTCCTCCTCCTCCTCCTCCTCCTCCTCCTCCTCCTCCTCCCTCCTCCTCCTCCTCCTCCTCCTCTCCTCCTCCTCCTCCTCCTCCTCCTCCTCCTCCTCCTCCTCCTCCTCCTCCTCCTCCTCCTCCTCCTCCTCCTCCCCCTCGACCGCGGCCGGCCTCGGCCTCGGCCGTGGGGGCCACGAGGGCCCCCCTACGAGGCCTCCTGGACCCCCCCCCCCCCCCGGCGAACTCCAGGAGAGCCCCCCCAGGAGGGCCCCGCGAGGAGGGCCTCCGCCTCGGAGGGCGGCGAGGCGTCTCGGCAGCCCCCGCGCCCTCCGAGCGGCTTCCTGCGCCCTCCGGGCGGAGGCTCGGAGCTCCTCTCCCGGAAGGCCGGGGCACCTCCCGCGCCTCCCGAGGAGGTTCAGGAGGGCAAAAAACGTGTACACACACAGACACAAGTAATCGTCGATCCCCCAGGGAGTATGGGAAACTACGGGAAGTGGGGGGGAAGACAAAAACCCAGAGCATGTCTTGGGAAGTATGGGGAATCCTGTTTTTTGTGTGTATTTATTTGTGTGCTCCAGGGCCCCTCCAGAGGCCCCTCTCCTCCTCCCCCTCCCCCCCCGGGGCGCGCCGTCGATCTGCCGTGCGACCCTGCTGCACGACGGTTGTGTGGTGTTCCAGCCCGCGGTGGCTCCCCGGACCACCAGGGAGACGTTGAGCACGCAGGGCAGCACCGACAGGCCGGAGGGTCTTCACGCGTGGGGCCCCGGGGGGCGAGATGCTCGTCCGACGCCGTCTCGATGCCTTTTCGGGTGCTGGACATTATCTAGTCCCATCGGCCCTGGCGCCCCCTTTGGGGCCTCTTGGGGGCCTCTTGGGGACCTCTTGGAAGTCTCTTGGGGCTCCTTGGCGGCGTCTTGGGGGCCCCCAGGGCCTCTTGGGGGGCTCTTGTGGGCGTCTTGGGGCGGGAGGGGGGGTAGTCGATTGCGGCTCCCCCCTCGGAGGCCACGATCCTCCTGAGGGGTGTCGAAAAATTGCCCGGTTCAGGGTCTCCTCCCGACTCTTGCCCGTGGTACTTTTCGCCCGGGGACCCCCAGGAGCCGCCCCGCGCGCGCGCTCGAGCTAGAAATAGTGTTAACCAGTTGCCGGAGATCCTAGCACGCCTCTAGCCCGTTGGGCCGGCGAATTCCTGGGACGTGGTCCTCGGGAGTCTCGAGACAGGGGTCAGTGCAGACGGGGGTCAGCCAGGGCGCCGGATCCTGCAGGATCCTGCGAAGACCCCCTCTGGCTGACCCGGGTTAGCGAGCCGCTCGTGGCCGCGAGGCGGCCGCGCCTATTGGCCGACCCGGGTTTGCGAAGACCTGCGCTGCAGTGTGTTTTTTTCTCTTGCACTGCAGTGGTTGGTTTCCTGCTGACCCGGGTCTGGATTTACCCGGGTCAGAAGATCAGCCACGCGCAGAGGGGGGGGTGGGGTGAGGGGGGAGGGCTTCTTAGAAGCACCCCTGCTTCTTAGCAGGCGCGGGCCTTCTCTATAGACGTGAGGCCGGGGCCTTCTAAGAAGCAGCCTGCTTCTGAGAAGCCCTCCCCCCTCCCGCCTACCCCCCTCTGCGCGCCGCCAAACGATGGGAGCAACATGACACCAGGGGTGGACTCCAGATCTGCACCTCGCCCGCTGCCGCTCTGCCCCCGCCCACCCCCCCCTCCCCGAGGAGGCCGCGCGGGAGCGCGGGCGGCGCGCGGAGGCCGAGGAGCGATAGCTCGGGCAGGGGCGCCCGCCGCGCAGCGAGGCACCCCAATGGCGCGCCGCGACCGCTGGGCCCGGGCCCCAACCCAGGCATCGGGCGAGGGGGACGAGGAGGAGGAGGACGAGGAGGAGGAGGAGGAGGAGGAGGAGGAGGCGGAGGCGGAGGCGGAGGAGGAGGCGGAGGAGGAGGAGGAGGAGGAGGAGGAGGAGGACGAGGAGGAGGAGGAGGAGGGGGAGGAGGGGGAGGAGGGCCCACTGCCCCCGTGCGCGCGCCGCAACGACGGGTGCCGCGCAGGCCCCTGGCCGCCCGCGAGGTGCCGCGCGCGAAGGCGCGACGGCGGCTCTTCCCCCCGGTTCTTGGGCCTCTCGGGGCCCTCGCCGGGCCCCGAGAGGCCGTCCAAAAGCACCTGGGTAGTCGAAGGCCAGACTGTCAGACTGGATTGGGCCCTAGGGGCCAGTCTGGCCTGGCCAAACTGGATGATTTGAGTCATTCGCCAGACTGGATTCGCGTGGGGGCTCCCTCGCCAGATTGCCCCCGTTTGCCAGATTGGGCCTGCCAGTTTGGCGCCAGATTGGCTTCGACTACCCAGAGCACGGCTCGGGATGGCGCCAGCCGGTCCCAGGGAGGTGGTCGGGAGGTCGGGGGCTGGCATCTCGAACAAGCCGTGGCGTCGGACGTCTGGGAAGAGGCCCGGGCCCGGCGCTCGGGGCGCGCCGGGCAGGGCCAGGGCTCCGAGGAGGAGAAGTACCGCTCTGCCCTTCTGTGGCCCGTTTTCCCCCTTTCTCTGGGCCTCCTGGGAGGCCCTCGTCGCCACCGCTGGGCTCGCCTCCAAGTGCTGGTCGGGACGCGCCCCGGGAGAGGTCTGGGGAGGAGCGGTATCGGCACCGTTTGGTGCCTCCAGGGAGGCGGACAAGTCCATTCCAGAGCGTTCCGGGAGGCTCTTGGAGCGTTCCGGAGCGCTCTCCGAGGGCCGCGGCGTGTGAGACGTCTTCCAGTGCTGTTGGGCCTCAGGGCTTCTCGATGGACCCTCTCCCGAATGAGCCCTCGTCCTGGAGGAGGGAGGAGGGAGGGAGGGAGGGGGGGGGGAGGGAGGAGGGAGGAGGGAGGGAGGGGAGGAGGGAGGAGGAGGAGGGTCCTGCTGTCAGGGCGCGGGGGCTGCGAATCTGCTCCAGGCGGGCGTTTTTTTTCACTCCGCTTCGGGCCCCTGCTCCCCTCCTCCTCCTCCTCCTCCTCCTCCTCCCTCCCTCCTCCTCCTCTCCTCCTCCTCCCTCCTCCTCTCCTCCCTCCTCCCTCTCCTCCTCCTCCTCCTCCTCCTCCTCCTCCTCAATCCCTCCCGACCTCCTCTCCCTCTCCTCCTCCTCCTCCTCCTCCTCCTCCTCCTCCTCCTCCTCCTCCTCCTCCTCCTCCTCCTCCTCCAGTGAGCGGCGGCAGGCGACGGGGTCGTTTGCGCCGACGTTCGCGCGCAGGCTGCCTGCGTAGTGTCGCGCGTAAGCAGGCGCCGTCGTGTCCAGTGCAGCGTGCCGCGCTGGAGGCCCGCGTAAGCCGCGGCGGAAGGCCGCCTCGGCGTCGTCGTCGTCGTTGGCGTCGTCGTCGCTTCGTCGTCGTCGGCGTCGGCGTCGGCGTCGGCTTGGTCGTCGTCGGCGGCGGCGTCGTCGTCGGCGTCGGCGTCTCGCGTGAGACCCGTTTCTTTTCGTCGCCCAGATGTGGCAGAAAGATGGGGTTTGGGGCTCTGGTCGAATTTCTCTACGATGCTGCAGTGTGCTCATGACGTCGAATCTCGAGGATTTTACTTCGGCTTGTCCAGGCAGCTCTCCCATGGCCGTCCCAGCTGCCTAAACACGCACACCCCGAGTGGTCCAGCGCGGGTTGGGCACCCAGACTTTGGGAGGCGCGAAGCGCCCGGGTGCTGAGGCCGACCCGGGCTGTTCGGGGGCCTGCTGATGGAGGCCTCCCAAAGTGGGTCCTGGTGCAGTCCACCCGCATAGTGAGGATGGACAACCTTCCCAAAGTTGTGATGCTCCAACCTTCTTTAGCCCTGATCACGCGGAAGAATTTCGAGCGCCCCCCAAAAGTACCAAAACTCAAGGGTTTTCACGTGTCGGTCCCTGGGAGACACTCGCCCGACACTGTTTCGACACTCTTTTAACACTTCTCTAGGTGCTCGAAATTATTTCCGGGATGTGGTCCTTAAAGACGATGGGAGCAACATATAAGGACAATCTTCCCAAAGGTACCTTTGCATCCTTGCTTCCTCGGTCCATCCTCTGCCACCTTCGCTGCCGGCGCCCCGCTCGAAGTGTCTGGAGATGGCCCACCAATGTCCCTGTGCTACGGGTGGACTGTATCCTGGGGCCTGCTAATGGAGGCCTCCCAAATTTGGATCTTGGTACATGGGGTCGGAGGATCGCGTCGCATCACCGATGTGTCTTCGATGCGGCTCGATGTTGAGCCCGATGCTCTCCACGCCGACGGCGACGATGCAGGGCTGGCGATGCGGCGCGATCATCCGACCCCCTCCCTCTACTCGGACCTGATGTGGGACGCCGCCAGGAAAGAAGCGACACCACCACCACCACCATCGGCCACGCGCAGAAGGGGGTAGGGGGAGGGGGGAAGGCTTCTCAGAAGCACCCCTGCTTCTTAGAAGGCGCGGTCCCTATGTGTAGATGTAAGGCCGCCGCCTTCTAAGGAGCAGCCTCCTCCTACGAAGCCTTCCCCGCTCCCTCCGCCCCCTTCTGCGCGCCGCCAACACCAGGCGGGCCACCTCCAGCGAGGAGGGCCACAGGGCCTTCCCGAGCTCAGGATATCGAACGTCCTCGAGCGAGAGGGGGGGGGGGGCCACGCCAGCAGGGTGGGCCCCTCCCCCGTGGCTCCCCTCCCGCGGGCGGTCCCTGGTGGTGGCCAGGCCGCTCTCCTGTGTGTGTGTGTGTGTGTGTGTGTGTGTGTGTGTGTGTGTGTGTGTGTGTATGTGTGCCCGACCTCGGGCCCGGCCGGGATCTGGGGGAGACACACATCACTGCTCCCCCCCCCCTCCTGCTCCTCCTGCTCCTCCTGCTCCTGCTCCTGCTCCTGCTCCTGCTCCTCCTCCTCCTCCTCCTCCTCCTCCTCCTCCTCCTCCTCCTCCTCCCGGGCCCGAGGTACCCCGGATAACTCGGGCGTCCAGAGCCCCGAATCAGCCGGGGCAACTCGGGTCAGGGCTAACGATCGGGTTCCTTCTTCGGGAGTCCGAGCTCGAGTTACCCCGGGCCCGAGTTACCCCGGATAACTCGGGCGTCCAGAGCCCCGAATCATCCGGGGTAACCCGGGTCAGGGCCAACTTGGGTTCCTTGTTCGGGAACCCGAGCCCGAGTGACCCCGGGCCCGAGGTACCCCGGATGACTCGGGCGTCCAGAGCCCCGAATCATCCGGGATAACCCGGGTCAGGGCCAACTCGGGTTCCTTGTTCGGGAGTCCGAGCTCGAGTAACCCCGGGCCCGAGTTACCCCGGATAACTCGGGCGCCCAAACAAACTGGACAAGCGTACGCTTTCTGAGGTCCGCTCGGACTTCCTGGAGCGGCGCTGGACCCCACCCAGTTCCGCGCGCCTGGGATCAGGGGAGGAGAAGGTACCGGTGGCGCTAATCACCCTTCCCATGTCGCCAGGGCTGGATTCGCCGGCAGGCGTGCGCAAGCTCGAAGCGGCCGTTGGATGTGCACGTTGCTTGTCCCTTGTGCTCGCCTTTTTGGGTCTTCTGGAAGGCTCGCCTCGCCACGGTTGGATTCGCATCGAAATCCTGGTCAGAGCTCGCCCCACAAGAGGTCCGTAGAGTGGCGGTATGGGTATCTTTTTGCTCGATCCAAGAAATCCGCGTGGACTTCCGAGCGTATACGTTTGTGCGGGGTGCATTCTTCTTGGAGCAGTGCGGGTGTCAGGGCGCGAGCTGAATGGTGTTTGGGCGAATGTTGAAATTCTAGACGCTTCGCGTATCCCCACCAGCCCGTCCAGAAACGACGCCCAGGCGAGTAGAGGGTCGTCCTGAGGGGCTTTTCGGCGTCTTGGGTGCCTCGGGGGGGCCTCTTTGGGCCGTTTGGGATCCTCTTGGGGGCCTCCTGGGGGCCTCTTGGGGCCATCTTGTGGCCATCTTGGGGCCTCTTGGTGCCTCCTGGGCGCTTCTTGGGGCCATCTTGGAGGAAATCGATCAAAGAAGAGGGGATCTTCAATTAGTGCTGCCCCCTCTGGGGGCCAAAACCTTAGTAAAATCAATGATTTTGGCTTCCTCGGCGAGGCCGTTTTGGACGCTCTGACCGCTCCCCGCCCCCCCTGTCCAGGTCAGTGGGGAGGGGGTAGGGGGAGGGGTAAACCCCTCCCCGAAGGGGAAGAAGGAGGGGTGGAAGAGGAAACGCTCTAAACCACCGACGCCCAGAGGGCTGGTGGGATTACGTATTTTTGGGTTTCCAGATTCCAATCCATTTTGAGCGCCTTCCCACTTCAATGATCGAGTCGCTTTATCTTTTCCTCAGGAGGGGAAAAAGCACACAGACACAATTCATCGTCGATTCTTCAGAAGATATGGGAAAATATGGGAAGTGGGGGGGAAGACGAAAACCCAGAAAGTATGGGAAAATATCGGGAATCTTTTCATTTGTGTGTATTTATTTGTGTGTCCCAGGGCCCCTTCATTTCCGTCCTCTTCAGGGGGCGGGCGGACGCCCAATCTATTACCAGCGCCTTCCTGCTGCATGTTTCTACCTACTTCCTCCGACCGATGGGTAACGTGGCCTTCCAAGGCTCTCGCATCCTTGCCGCGCATCCTTACTATACGGGTTGACTGTAGCATGTAGCATGCTATTGCGAAGGTCTTACGGCCGGTGCCGCCAACTCTGAAGGGAGACGACGACGACGACAACGGCGGCGGCGGCGGCAACGACGACGACGCTGACGTGGGCCAGAGTCCTCAGGGGTGCTTCTCGGGGTCTCTTCGGAAGTCTCTTGGGGGCCCTTTGGGATTCATTTTGAAGCCTCTTGGGAGCCTCTTGGGGGCCTCTTCGGCCCTTGCCGCGCATCCCGATTGTACGGGTTGACTGCAGCGTGCGATTCGCCTGCGTGCTGCGTGGCGCCGTACGTGTGATGGCTCGGCGGCGAGGGCCGCAGCACAAGGGCGCCCTCGAGGGCGCGAAGTTATTCGCGCTTCGCGCTTCGCGGTTCGGCTCCGATTCCTCCTCGTCCTCCTCTTCTCCCCTGGGAGGCGGCGCGAGAGCGCGAAGTTATTCGCACTTCGCGCTCTCGCGCAGCGCGAAGCGCGAAGTTGGGAGCCCTTGGCAACAGGTCCACGCGCGCGGAGGTCCCCCAAGCCTCCGGACGCCGAAGACCGACAGCTGGCGTCCTGATCTGCATTGCTGCCACTCTGGCGTCGGGCAAGGGGGGGGAAGCGAGAGGGGCGGGCCTTCTCAGAAGGCGAGGGGACTTCTCAGAAGCCCTCGCGCCCTTTGAGAAGTGTTCTGCGTCTTCGGGGAGGGCCCGCAGAATTTCTCAGGTGGCCGGAAGCCCGAGGCCGACAACCAGTGTCCTTGACTTGCATTGCTCATGTCGGGAATGTCCCTGTACAGGAGGAATTTGTAAAGATAGTCACGCAAATAGTCTGGGGACGATATTTCGATTATGTTTTGGCCATTTTTGAGTATTTTCTTTGGTCGTTCGCTCGTTGTCGTTTGACTATGTTGAGTATGCTGAAGTCGGGCACTACTGTTCTGTCTGATTTGACTCGTTTCCGCTGTTCTCCCACAATCTGCCTGCAGGAGGGCATGCCCGACCTAACGCATTGCTGCACCTCGGCGGCGAGCAAGGGGTGGAACTGAGAAGGGGCCGGCCACCTCAGAAGGCTCGGAAGTCCCCCGGCCTTCTGAGAAGTTTTCTTAGCCTTCCCCGAAGACGCAGAACACTCCTCAGAAGGCGCGGGTGAGGGCTTCTGAGGAGTCCCGTCGCCTTCGAAGAAGGCCCGCCCCTTCTCGCTTGCCCCCCTCTTAGGATGCAACTCCTGGGAGGTCAAATTCTGTTTCTGCCCTGGTCCGAAATCCGGCCTACTCCGGCTTAAGCCCGCTAAATCCGGCTTACGCCCGCTCAGTCTGGCTTACCCCCGCTGAATCCGAGGCCCACTCCTGCGCAATAGCTCCCAAATGGGGCTTAGTCCTCCGTAACCTCTCCGACGAAAACCTCCCCGCAGCTGCCTCCCAACCCCTCGCTCGTCGCCGGGCCACAGCCGCGGGCGTGTGCAGCCGCGCCCTGCCGCAGGAGCGGTGCGCGGAGGAGGCCGCGCGGGGCCTGCGGGAGCGCGGCGAGGCCTCTCGGGGGGGGCGGACGACTGCGGGCGGGGGGGGCGTCAGCGGCACCGCAGCGGATACCTTTTTGGGTTCGCGGCTCCAAGGCGAGGGACATATGGAGCGAGCACAGCGTCCGGGGCGCGGTACGTAGATGATTGGCGCGAGATTGCCGCAGACTCCAGCGGACAACACACGCAGCGGCACATGCACATGCACATGCACATGCACATGCACATGCAGATGCACATGCACATGCACATGCACATGCACATGCGCATGCACCGCAACGGATACGCGCCGGTCGTTGAAAGTGGGTATTCTTGGGTTCCCAGATCCCAGTTAGCTTCAAGCGCCTTCCTGCCTTAAGGATCGGCACGCTGGTGCTGTGTTCTGTTATTCTCTGGGCGGCCCGGACCCAATCAACTTAATCCGCCTTCCTGCTTCATGCTTTCACCTACTTCTTCCGACCAACGTGTACTCACCAACGGGGGCTTTGGAATTATGCCGAAGGTGGCCACCTGAGGGTCTCTCCCTGGCATTGGAGCGGTGCACACATCGGGTCCTTGGCCAAAGTGCCCATCAGTGGAGCCTCAGTTGGAGGGCCGCCGAGGGGGGTCGGGAGGCCTCGCGACGGGGGTCGAATCAAGCAGGGGTTAGCCAGGGCGTCAGGTCGCCGCAGAGCCAGGGGCGCACCGACCCAGGCTAGTCTGGTTGTCCCAAGAGAGAGGTCCAGCGACAAGGGGATGGTGCAATAGATTTGGTGCAACAGGTTTGTGGGGTTGCAATAGATTTGTGGCGTGCAATACATTGTGGTGAGAACATGCATTGCTGGGTTGTCGCCTGCAATACATCAGTTGCAATACAGTGCAATACAACTTTCTGTTGCAGTACAATTTGCAATGCAATTGCCCAAAACCTATTGCACCACCCCCTTTCAGCTGAACGTTCTTTAGGGTCAACTGAAGTTTGGGTGCAGGACCCTGCATGAGACTGCAGGATTTTGCAGGATCCTGCAACGCTCGACTGGCCAGGGTGAATGCTCATCCAGCGACCCAGATCGGTAAGATTGAAATGAATGCAACAAGACGGGGGACGAGTATTGGCAGCTATCCTTGACGCTCCGCGTATTCCCACCAGTCCATGCAGAAACGATCGCTAGTCAAGGTGCTTTGACTAGGCAAGTGCAGAAGCATGCAGTGGAACAAACGCCTTGTACAAGTGTCGTGGGCGCAGAATCGGCGGGAACATTTGCGTAATGATCGAACACGTTACACGTTCCCATGCCAGGGCAGCTTCATTGGTTTCTTTGATGGAATCCTCTCAGGGCGATGGGTCGCTATCGAAGACGCCTACGGCGAATCACCGCCGCCCCCTGCCTTTGTGGAAGCGCCTATATGGCCGAACGTTGAGGCCAGACCTGCCAAGTGATCGGACCATGTGTTCCCCGAATCGATTTGGAAAGCCTTCGGGGAACACGTGGGCATCTTGAAGGTCTTGTTGGAGGACGTCTTGGGCCTTTCGGGCCTTCTTGGAGGACATCTTGGAGGTCTCTTAGGCCCTCTTGGGGCCGTCTTCGCGCCGTCTTGGAGGCCATCTTGGGCGCCTTGGAGGCCTCTTGGGCCGTGTTTGGGCCTCTTGCGGCCGTCTTGAGGCCGTCTTGGGCCGTCTTGGGGCGCTCATGGAGGTCTCTTGGGCCGTCTTCGGGCGCTCTCGGAGGCTTCCTGGGCTGTTTTGGAGCATCGGGAAGCCGAAAAGGCAACCAACCAAAATCCTTCCAAAACAATCGTAAAGTGGACGATTTTGGCCTCGTCGGGCCCTCCTGGAGAACCTGTTGGAGGCCTCTTGGGCCGTCTTGGAGGCTTCTTGGGCGAACTTGGAGGTATCTTGGACCCTCTTGGGCCGTCTCGGAGGCCGTCTTGGACCATCTTGGGTGGACTTGGAGGCCATCTTGGACCATCTTGGAGGCCATCTTGGGCCAACGTGACCATCCTGGAGGCCATGTTGGGCCGTCTTGGAGGAAGAATTGGGATTGGGCGATGGCGTGTGCGTCTTGCGGGTCTTGGGGGGCGGCCGGCGGGACGGGCCGAAACCCACTGGGAGAGTTCTTTGGGAAAAAGAACCAAAACGAAACCCATATCATCCGGCACGCCAGGCACCCCTGCGATGAATCGACAGGGGGCGGCGGATCGAAGACGCCTACGGCGAATCACCGCCGCCCCCTGCCTTTTTGGAAACGCCGATGTGGCCGAAAGTTGGACTAGAGCTTGGCCAAGCTATCGGACCATGAGTTCCCCGAGTCGGTTTGGAAAGCTTTCGGGGAACACATGGGAGAGAATGATTATGAACAGGAAGAGGAAGAGGAAGAAATAGAGTAGGAGGATGAGGGTTGTTAGGAGTCTCTTGGGGCACCCTTGGGGTCTGTTGGGGGCTTCTTGGGGGCCTCTTCGAGGCCTCTTGGAGGCATCTTGGGGGCCTCCTTGGGCCTCTTGGGGGCCTTTGGGGGCTTCCTGGGGGTCTCTTTGGCCGTCTTAGGGCGTTCCTGGTCCGTCTGACGCCGTCTGGAGCCGTCTTGGGGGCCTCTCTGGGCCGTCTTGGGGCCCTCTTGGGGCGCTTCAGGGCCGTCTTGGAGGCCATGTTGGGCGTCTTGGAGGCCTCTTGGGCCGTCTTGGGGCGCTCTTGGGGCCGTCTTGGGGGGCCCTTGGGCCGTCATAGGGCCTTCTTGGAGGCCTCTTGGGCGATCTTGGGGGCCTCTTGGGCCGTCGGAAGGCCGAAAAGAAGAAAACGCAAAAAACCTTCAAAAACCTAAGGAAAACCAATGATTTTGGCCTCTTCGGGCTCTCCTGGAGAACGTCTTGGAGGCCTCTTGGGCCATCTTGGAGGCATCTTGGGGCCATCTTGGCCGTCTTGGAGGGCATCTTGGGCCGTCTTGGAGGCATCTTGGAGCCATCTTACCCGTCTTGGAGGCCATCTTGGCCGTCTGGGAGGCATCTTGGAGGCCATCTTGGGCCATCTTGGCCGTCTTGGAGGCCATCTTGGGCCAAGTTGGGGCAACAAAGGCATTGACAGACGGATTTTGGGAAAATTACGGGTGGCCGGCGGGACGGGCCGAAGCCCATTGGGGAGTTCTTTTAGAAAAAGAACCAAAACCAAAACCTGAAACATCCAGCACGCCGTGCACCCCTGCAAGCAGGGGGCGGCGGATCTAATGGCTTTCGGCCCATCCCACCACCGTCCCCCGGTTGTGGGTATGAAGCCTATTGGATGTTCGTTGGGATCTCGTGGGAGGCCTCTCGGGGCCTCTTGGAGGCAGTTTGGTGGCGTCTTGGAGGCCGTTCTGGGGCCTCTTGGGGCCTCTTAGGGGGCCTCTTGGGGGCCTCTTGGGGGACCTCTTGAGGCTTCCTGGGCGCATCTTGGAACCCCCTGGGGGCTTCTTTGAGTGGAAGGCTCGGATTTTCGCTTCGTGTCCTCTATCTTGGGCTCCTTTGTGGCCGTCTTAGGCGCTCTTGGCTGGTTTGGGGCCCTCTTGGATGCCTTTTTGGCTGGTTGGGGGTGGTCTTGGGGGCCTCTTGGGCCGTTTTGGAGCGTCGGAATGCCGAGAAGACGAGACGACCAACCACTTTCGAACAGTCTACGGATAATCAGTGATGCTTGCCTCCTGGGGCCCTCTTGGGAGGTCTCTTGGGGGCCTCTAGGAGGCGTCCTGGGCCACCTTGAGGCCATCTTGGGGCAATCTTGGGCGTCTTGGGCCGACCTTTGGGTGTTTCGGGGCCATATTGGACCGTGCTGGGGGCCTCGTGACCAGTCTTCGGGCCCCCTTGGCCCTGGAAAAGTCATGTGAAACCACGCGGGAGGCCCCGACAGATTTGAGAACTTTGGGCCCAGGCCCTTTTCAAGACTTCTCAGGACCGAGAACTGGGCTCCAGGGATTGGGATTCGGCAAAGGACCTGAAGACACGTCCACTCTGTGCCAAGAGGCACAGTGGCGGATCTTTGACAATCGGAGCGGGGAGGAGGAGAAGAAAACGGGAGGAGGAGGAGAAGGAGAGGAGGAAGAAAACGAGGAACAATCAGTACGATAGCGGATGAAGAAGGAGACGATGATGAAGGTGACGACGACAACGAGGAGTCACGACAGCGAAAACTAAGCTTTCGCGGAGATTTCGATCCACGAGCCTCCGCGAAGCTTATTAGAGGCCTCTCAGAACCATTCGGAGCCATGTTTGAAGCCTTTTGGGCTCTCTTGGGGCCTTCCTGGGGCCAGCTTGGGACTCTCTCGGGGCGTCTTGGATGCCTCGTGGGGTAATATTGGGCCCCACTGTTCAAAAAGAGGGCGTCGTCTCCCCCCTCGGCGGCCGAACCAGTACCCCTTGGAGCCCTCTTCGGGCGCTTTTGGGGCGCAATTGAGGCCGTCTGGGGGCACTGGTGAGCCCATCTTGGGGCTCTCTTGGGCCATCTTAGGGCCGTCCCAAGGACTCAAAAGCCAGTCGGAGTCCAAAAGGCGAGACGGCAACAAACATTGATGCTCCTTATATGCTTATCAGATTTTGGCCTCTTGCAGGGTGTCTCGGAAGGCTCGGGCAGCACTTGGATTTTTTCTAGTTGTATTGGAGTTTATCGGAGGTGTGTCGGGAGCTATCTTGAGGTGCCTTGAGCCATCTTGGAGGCCATCTTGCAGCATCAGGGGCGCTCATCGATTTGTTTTTGACCAGGATGGTCGCCTTGCACACGGCAGGCAATGTGCCAGCCCTTCCGCCGTCCTTGTCGAGAACCAATGCAAAGGGATCGCGAGTTGCCGCGTATGATTCAGATTTTAGTTACGTTTGTTTTGCAACGGATGGTGGGGGTGTTGGCGTTGCACACGGCAGGCAACAGGCCAGACCCCCCCGCCGCCCCTGTCAAGAACCTCGGGGGGCGTCCGCGCATGATCCAGATTTTGGTGGTGCAACGCGAATGTTGTTCAGTTTTTGCAAGAGATGGTGGGGGGGACATTGTACCTGGTTTGTCGCAGGTCGGGTGGGGGAGGGTGCATTTGTTCCAAAGCGAGCAATATGATTTTTCTCCCCCGAGTAAGGGAAGGGGGTATTTGGGTAGAGGGGGGAAACAAGTCGTCACACCACCTTCGCGCAGACGGCTGGTGGGATTCCTGCACGTCGGTGTCGCCGCGGACGCTCTCACATGTGAGGCACCGTGCAGCCTGATCCACGGCGGCCGCTGTCGGCTTTTGGACACCATGTGCTTTTTTGGTACCCTGCCCGCCCTCTCCGTGCTCATGCCAGGCGTACCCGCCCGGTGAGAAGCAGAGGCCGCCCACCGAGGCCCGGGGGAGGGGGGGGGCCGCCGACCCCTCCCTTGGCGGTCGCACGCCCGAGCGTCGCCCAGTACCGGACGGCGCTCAGGCGTGCCACCGAACGGTGCGAAGATCGGGGCAAAATCGGATCGGGATAACTCGAAATCTCTGAGCACCGGCGGGTTTGGAGGATGTCTCGGGCGCCGCGGCCGCTCCAGAGCGTTCCGGAACGCTCCGAGAGCGCTCCGGAACGCTCTGAGAGCGCTCCGGAACGCTCTGGAGCGATGTATCCCGATCCTAGCCCTGTTTTATTCCCCGCTGGGCCCTCGGTGGCGGTGGCCTCTGTTCCTCCCCTGCGGGGGCCCGGGTTCCTCCACGGAGCAAGCCTACTGAGAGCCCTCGGGAAGCCATCCGGGGATTCTTCTCAGCTCCTTCGCGCAGTGAGCTGGAGGAGCTCTACGAGATACGACATTCTCAGGCCCAGACGCAGCAGGAACGACCGCCCCCCCCCCTGGGGGGTGGGTGGTGGTGGAGAAGGCGGCGGGCGGGATCTCCTTCGGGGGCGGCCAACATGGCCGGGGACGTGCTTCTGGGCTCGGGGACCCCCCTCCATCTTGGACGCCCCCCGTCCCCGGACATGCGATGCCTTGCTTTCCTCCATGCGCTCCCCCCGGAGGTTCCGACTCTCTTTCTCAGGACGAGATCACATCCCGAATCATTTGAGCGACGCAAGAAGCACGGGGCCGTCTGTGCCGATATTGGCGCGTAAGCTGCCGCGTAAGGTCGCGCGTAAGCGCCATCTTCTCCAACGTGGCGTGCCGCGCCGGCGGCCTGCGGAAGCCGCAGCGTAAGGTCGCCATGCCATCTCGCGTAATTCCCGCTGTTGATCGTCGCTCATTTTTTGCCTTCCCGGGGCCCGGCGAGGGCCCCCACGGCCAAACACTTCCCGTTACTTTGCATCTTCGGGGGACCTCGCTTGTCCAGCAAATTGGTGTCTCTTCTTGTGCCCGACGCGGGCTCGATGCAGACTCGACACGGATTTCGCGTGGATCCGACGCGGAGTCGACACGGATCCGACGAGTCCGACATGGATTCGGCACCGACTCGATGCGCGTAGGGCACCGACGGGGCAGACGAGGCCCCCGAGGATGCAACATAATTTCGAAGAAGAAATATCGGCATACAAAAAAACATAAAGGTTGGCGCTCCGCGCGGATTTCTTGGTCCCTCGCTGGGCCCCCCGGCAGCGCTTCCGACGCCGCCCGCGCGCCAGGGAGGGGGGCCCAGCGCAGATCCAAGAGATCGGCGCGGAGCGCCAAACATCTATATGTTTATGGCGTTGCTCCTTTTTCGAAGGACGCAACATAACTTTACCAGCCTCGAGCTTATCCCTATCCCTAAGATTTGCACGCCAAAAGGCGACGCCAATCTCAGGGATGCGCCCTCAACAAATCAAGGAACCCCTCAGATCGGCATCGTCGTGAGACGATGCCCAGCACAGGGACAGGGATCTGTTCCAGGCTGGTAAAACCTCTGCAACGCGCGAGCACGTCCGGGTCTTGCGCGACCCCGACTCTTTCTCCCAGGACGGTTGTGTGTCACCCGACCTCTTTTTGACAGCCCTGGGGCCGAGCGAGGGCCTCCAGAGCCAGAAACGGCCCCAGAAACCTTCCGTCGTGATGTCTTCACGACGCGAGCATGCCTGGGCCCGGGGCCCAGTGCGGATCCAAGAAATCCGCGCGGAGCGCCAAAAAAGTTCATGCTTATGCCGTTGTTTATTCTTCGACTGGCCCCGCCCGACCATGCCTCAAGGAAAGCGCCTGGCGGTGGGGCCGGAGCCGACTACAACATTGATCTACCCCAACGCGTTGAGTTCGTCGTCGCACGCACATGAGATGCGTACAAGGCTCGTAGGCCTACGAGCATCCTACGCATGCTCGCAGATCCGACGAGCGGATCGAATGTGGGGTCAGCCGACTCTGCAGCCGTTCCCTCCCTCCTCCTCCCCCTCCTCCTCCTCCTCCTCCTCCTCCTCCTCCTCCTCCTCGACCCTCGTCCTCCTCCTCCTCCTCCTCCTCCTCGACCCTCTTCCACGTTGACCCTCTCTCCTCCCTGCTCGATCCTCCGCCCTCCCTGCTCACTTCCCTCCCCCCTCCTCGGTCCTCCTCCTGAGCCTCCTCCCGCATGGAGCCTCGTGCTCGCACCTCCTCCTCGATCCTCCACGTCCCTCCTCGATCCTCCTCGATCCTCCTCCTCCTGCGCCTCCTCCCTCCTCCTCCCTCCTCCCTCCTCGATCCTGTCTCCTCTCTCCTCCCTCCTCCTCCTCGTCCCTCCTCCTCCTCGTCCCTCCTCCTCCTCGTCCCTCCTCCTCAATCCTCAATCCTCCTCCTCAATCCTCCTCCTCCGAAGCCTCCTCCGCCTCCTCCTCCGTGCAGTGGCGGGCCGCCCGCCCTCTCCCGTGTGCACGGCCGCCTCGCTCCCCCCTTCGCGGCCGGCCTCTCGGGGAGGAGGAGCCGGCCGCCCACGGCCGGCCTCCGGGAGGCGGCGAGGGGAGGCAGCGAGGGGGCAGCGAGGAGGCAGCGAGGAGGGAGGCGGAGGGAGGCGGGGAGGAGGGAGGAGGAGGAAGCAGGAGGAGGAAGCAGGAGGAGGAGGAGGAGGAGGAGGAGGATTATCGAGGCGGGAGCAGGAGGACTGAGGAGGAAGGACGAGGAGGAGGAGGGAGGAGAGAGGAGATAGGATCGAGGAGGGAGGAGGGAGGAGGAGGGAGGAGGCGCAGGAGGAGGAGGATCGAGGAGGATCGAGGAGGGATGTGGAGGATCGAGGAGGAGGTGCGAGCACGAGGCTCAATGCGGGAGGAGGCTCAGGAGGAGGACCGAGGAGGGGGGAGGGAAGTGAGCAGGGAGGACGGAGGATCGAGCAGGGAGGAGAGAGGGTCAACGTGGAAGAGGGTCGAGGAGGAGGAGGAGGAGGAGGAGGAGGAGGAGGGTCGAGGAGGAGGAGGATCGAGGAGGGAGGAGGGAGGATGAGTGTCGAGGAGGAGGAGGAGGACGAGGAGGAGAAGGAAAGAAGGAGGAGGAGGAGGAGGAGGAGGGAAAGGAGGAGGAGGACGAGCGAGGAGGCGGCGGGTCTGCCATAAAGACCCGAGAGGCGGAGCAGAAGCTCCTGGCGGCCTCGGTCCTGCACAAGGGCCTAGAGTCCAAGGCGCAGCACGAGGCCCCTCTCCCCACTCGAGCCGCAGCTCCTCCCTGCATGGGGCACGTCCCTCTACAGGAGGAACCTTCCAGAAGAATCCAGGCAAATCGTATGACGACTCTTTGTCAACGATGTTTGGCCTTTTGATAGTCTTTTGTGCCTATGTGCAATTCTTCGTTCAACATCTGCCCGTAGGAGGACGTGCCTGACCTAACCCTGTTACTCAGATGCAGCGTCAGGGGGACTTGAGGTTTGAGGTTCGGGCTTCGAGGTTTGCGTGCTGGTGGTCTGATCGTCCTGGGACGCCCTCGTGGCCACTGGATCCGCCTCGAGATTCTGGGCAGAACGCATCCCAGGAGAGGTGATGGGCCCGGGGCCAACGATAGGGGGGGAGGTTGGCGGTTTTCTGGCATTCCCGAGAGCTCTCGGCGATGTTCTGCCCCGAGTGGGCGATACGACCCAGAGACCAATGGGCACCTACAGGGAGCCCTCGGCTCCCCAGCGCCCACTGGCCGCCGACCGGGACGCGATAGCCCACCCCGCCCAGGAACGGACCGATTCGCCATGGGTGGGCCTGTCGCCGATCTGCCGGTGATGCAGCTTCACCGGTTCCAAGTCAGTGTTCCCCCGAGTCCGGGGCCGGTGCAGGGCGTGCATGGCACAGGCGCAGCCAGACATGTGTCCAAACGTCTTCCCATGGCATGGCAATGCCAGACGGCGGCGGGGATGACGCAGGCAGATGGTTCGTGTTCAGATGAGATGGCTCGATCTGACAAAACATGTTCCCCTCTGCCCTGAGCCGGTCCCCCCCCGTAGGTAACGTTCCCCCGCAGTCCCTCCCCAGACTTGCTCGTGTCGGGGGAGCGTAAGACCCGGGTTTGCCGGGACTCGGGTTCGCCATCGTTTTTTGACGACCGCGCCTCGGATTTTGACGAGGAGGAGTTTCGTGGGATGTCTGCAGCGGGAGGCCTCGTCAAAATGCAGGCTCGGCCTCGTCATTTTTTTGACGACCTCGTCGGGGATTTCCGAGTCCCCTGTACCCAGGTCTTACGTCCCCCTGACCCTCCCCAGACTTGCTCGTGTCGTGAAGTAGTCACGACGGGAGGTTTTGTTCAGCGTTGCGCCCTCCAGGGGGGCCCTCGCTGGCCCCAGGGGCGGTCAGAAGACGACCCAGGATGGAAACCACATATTTTCAGAGCCCCGAATCATCAGGGGTAACTCGGGTCAGGGATAACTCGGGTTCCTTTTTCGGGAATCCAAACCCGAGTTACCTCGGACCCGACTTACCCCGGATAGTTCGGGCGTCCAGAGCCCCGAATCATCAGGGGTAACTCGGGTCAGGGCTAACTCGGGTTCCTTTTTCGGAAATCCAAACCCGAGTTACCCCGGATAACTCGGGCGCCCAATATTTTGTGGAAAGGGTGGAGGTGTCTGGAGATCCCGCATGGAAAAAAAGCGGGCAGTGGATGTTCGGGGCTCCCCCCCCTCACACACAGCCAGCCCTCCGACGACGTGCTATGCTCAGTCCAGGCTTCTTTCTTTGCTTGCGGCCTCGGGGACCCGTCATCGGCTCCAGATGGCAATCCAGAGTTGATTTGGGGCGAAGCGCTGCGGGGAAGAGGTCGGCGGCTGCCAGGGCACGCTCTCCGCTGGCGGTGCCGCCGCCCCAGGCAGACTCCGCGCGCCAGTGACGCTCCCACACCGAACATCCAGGGCCTATGGGGTCGCAGTGCTGGGTTTCTTGTGGAAGGCTTCTTGTGGACTGGCCTCCGCTGCACAGCGAGCCCTTGAAACTTCGGCCTGGAGGGAACGAAGAATGGTGAGTGCTTCGGCGCACGGCCGCAGTGTTGTTTCACAGTGTATGACCCCATGTTGGCGTCCAGGATACGAATGAAACACTTGGTTTTTCTCACACGGTTTGCGGGGTGACACGTGTCACCTTTGTGTTGCTTCACGTTGTGTGACCCCATGTTATGTCCAGAATGCGAATGACGCAGTTGGTTTTCTCACACGGTTTGCGGGGTGACACGTGTCACCATTGTGATCTTTCGCAATGTATGACCCCATGTTGGCGTCCAGGATGCGAGTGAAAGGCGTGGTTTTCTCAGACGGTTTTCGGGGTGACACGTGTCACCCGTTTGTTGTTTCACGGTGTATGACCCCATGTTGGCGTCTAGGATGCGAATGAAGCACTTGGTTTGTCTCACACGGTTTCCGGGGTTACACGTGTGACCCTTGTGCTGTTTCACAGTGTATGACCCCATGGTGGCGTCCAGAATACCAGTGGCACAGTTGTTTTTGCCTCACGCGGTGTTCGGGGTGACGCGTGTCACCCCTGTGTTGTTTCACCGTGTATGATTCCATGTGGGCGTCCAAAATGCTTGTGAAACAATTTGTTTTTCTCACACGTTTTTCCTGGTGACGCGTGTCACTCTTGTGTTGCTTCACGCTGTATGACCCCACGTTGGCGTCCAGAATACGATTTAAGCAATATGTCACAACCATCCTGTGGTGTTGGGTCCTCGCTTTGAAGAGACAGCGCCCCGCGTCCCTCCTTCCGCTGCCTCCTCCCCCTCCTCCTCCCTCCTGCCATCATCATCATCATCATCATCATCATCATCATCATCATCATCATAACCATCATCACCATCATCATCATCATCACCATCATCATCCTCAGCATCATCATCACCATCATCACCACCATCATCATCAGCATCAGCACCCTCCTCATCATCATCATCATTATCATCATCAGCATCATCATCACCATCAACATTATCATCGTCATCATCAGCATCATCATCATCACCCACTTCGGCACACCCCTCACACGTTTCGTGGCCCCATAGGGAGCTCCACCAAAGTTCCCAGTGGGTGTGCCCGCATGCGCCCCGCACATTCAATCCGGCACACCCCTCACACGCTTCGTGGCCCAATAGAGAGCTCCACCGAAGGTCCCAGTGGGTGTGCCCGCATGCGTCCCGCACTCCCTTTTCGGCACACCCCTCACACGTTTCGTGGCCGCATAGGGAGCTCCACCGAAGGTCCCAGTGGGTGTGCCCGCATGCGTCCCGCACACCCATTTCGGCACACCCTTCACATTTTTCGTGGCCCCAGAGGGAGCTCCACCGAAGGTCTGAGTGGGTGTGCCCGCATGCGTCCCGCACACCCATTTCGGCACACCCCTCAGACGTGTCGTGGCTCCATAGGGAGCTCCACCGAAGGTCCCAGTGGGTGTGCCTGCATGCGTCCCGCACTCCCTTTCGGCACACCCCTCACACGTTTCGTGGCCGCATAGGGAGCTCCACCGAAGGTCCCAGTGGGGGTGCCCGCATGCGTCCCGCACACCCATTTCGGCACACCCCTCACACGTTTCGTGGCCCCATTAAGGGGCACAGTCCCACCCGCATGCGTCCCGCACCCATTTCGGCACACCCCTCACACGTTTCGTGGCCCCATAGGGAGCTCCACCGAAGGTCCCAGCATGCGGGGTGCCCGCATGCGTCCCGCACACCCATTTCGGCACACCCCTCACACGTTTCGTGGCCCCATAGGGAGCTCCACCGAAGGTCCCAGTGGGGGTGCCTGCATGCGTCCCGCACACCCATTTCGGCACACCCCTTACACGTTTCGTGGCCCCATAAGGGGCTCCACCGAAGGTCTGAGTGGGTGTGCCCGCATGCGTCCCGCACACCCATTTCGGCACACCCCTCACACGTTTCGTGGCCCCATAGGGAGCTCCACCGAAGGTCCCAGTGGGTGTGCCGGCATGCGTCCCGCACACCCATTTCGGCACACCCTCACACGTTTCGTGGCCCCATAGGGAGCTCCACCGAAGGTCCCAGTGGGTGTGCCCGCATGCGTCCCGCACACCCATTTCGGCACACCCCTCACACGTTTCGTGGCCCCATAGGGAGCTCCACCCCCAAGGTCCAGCGTGCCCGCCGTCCCGCACACCCATTTCGGCACACCCCTCACCCGTTTCGTGGCCCCAGAGGGAGCTCCACCGAAGGTCCCAGTGGGTGTGCCCGCATGCGCCCCGCACACCAATTCGGCACACCTTTCACACGTTTCGTGGCCCCATAGGGAGCTCCACCGAAGGTCCCAGTGGGGGTGCCCGCATGCGTCCCGCACACCCATTTCGGCACACCCCTCAGACGTTTCGTGGCCCCACAGGGAGCTCCACCGAAGGTCCCAGTGGGTGTGCCCGCATGCGCCCCGCACGCCCAATTCGGCACACCCCTCACACGTTTCGTGGCCCCATACGGAGCTCCACCAAAGGTCCCAGTGGGTGTGCCCGCATGCGTCCCGCACACCCATTTCGGCACACCCTTCACACGTTTCGTGGCCCCATAGGGAGCAGTGGGTGTGTCCGCATGCGTCCCGCACACCCATGTCGGCACACCCCTCACGCGTTTCGTGGCCCCATAGAGGCTCCACCGAAGACGTCCTCGTTTGGAAAGGCTAACGGGGGTGCCCCGGCATTTTCGAAGGTTCGGAGGCCCGTCTTCGCCACAAGGCCCCAGTGGGGGTGCCCGCATGCGGTTCCCCGACACCACCACCACTGTGGCAGGCCCCTCACACAGTTCGTGGCCCCATAAGGAGCTCCACCGAGGACGATATTCACAACTGCGGTGCTCACAACTGCATATGGTTGGGTCCTTCGCCAGGCTAATTTCCATTCGGTTTTCGTCTTGTGTTGTTTCACACTGTATGACCCCACGCTGGCGTCCAGAATGCGATTGAAACATTGTTTTTGTTCCACATTCTGTTCGGGATGACACGTGTCACCCTTGTGTTGTTTCACAGTGTCTGACCCCATGTTGGTGTCGAGGATGTGAATGAAACAATTGGTTTTTCTCGCAAGGTTTTCGGGGTGACACGTGTCACCCTTGTATTGTTTCACACTGTATGACCCCATGTTGGCGTCCAGGATACGAATGAAACAATTGTTCTTTATCCGGCGGTTTTCGGGATGACACGTGTCACCCTTGTGTT